GTGAGTGTGACCTTATTTGGAAATAAGGTCTTTGCAGATATAACTAGGTGAAGGATCTCAAGATGGGATCATCCTGGATTAGGATGGGCCCTAAATCCAATGACCAGTTTCCCTTTCAAGAGAAAGTGTAGAGAGACACGTAGAGAGAAGGCTGTGTGAGTACGGAGGCAGGGTTGGGAGTGATGTGGCCACAAACCATGGGACGCCTGGAGCCACCAAAAGGTGGGAAGAGGCAGGAAGGAACCTCCCCTAGAGTTTCTGGAGGGAGCACAGCTCTGCCGACACCTTGATCTCAGGCTTCTGGCCTCCACACTGTGAGAGTATAAATTTCTGTTTATCTCCCCAAGTTTGTGGAAATTCGTTGCAGCAGCCACCAGAAACGAATACAGTAGGGGAACATGTGCTATAAAATTCCAAGATGTGTTATACATAGTACTGATGTATTATCACAGACAGAGACAAATGACAAACAGATCAGACCAGAACGCCTTGGCATATACCTGTGTGGAATGAAAAGCGCTTATCACACAGATATGGCTCTGTAAACCTGGGGAGACGAACTCAGCTCGATCGTGAGGTGTTATCTTTCTTATGCATGGCTGGATATGGCTTATTAATGCTTGTTCAGAAGTGTTGCAACTTTGCTCATGAGAATATTGGCCTGTAATTTGCTTTTCCCACATAAGGCAAATTATGTGGGATTTGTCAGAGTTTAGCATTAAGCTTATGTTAGCATCATGAAATGAAAGGCGAGTGTTTCTTCCTTTTGTATATGTATATATGTTGGAAAGTTTGTGAAGTATTAGAATTACGGGTTCCTTCCCAGGCTGGTAGCACTTTCTGATAAAATCATACTGGGATTTTTTTCTGTGTGGGAAGATTTTTAAGCACTGATTTTATTTCTTAGTGGCTATAAGATTATTCAGGAATATTTCATATTGAGCCAGCTTAGCTATCATATTTTTCTAGATATTTATTTCATCTCGGCTTTCAAATTTACTGGCATAAAGATATTTTTAATAACCTCTGGCTAATTTTAATTTTTTTAACTGTTTGTGGTATTATTATCTCTTGTAAATAGAAATAAAATAGCAGGAAGAGCTGGAACTTGCTAACAGGGCCACTGGTGCAGCGATATTTACTGAAGCCTTGCTTTTAATTGTCAAAAATCAGATGTCCATAACTTGGAGAGGAAATTAATGCACTGTGGTATATTAATACAATGGAATGCAGTACAGCAATAAAAAGGAATGAACTAAATCTACACATATCAACACGGATGAATTAATAAACACACAGTTGG